CTTCTCAGCCTTTTGGCTAAGATCAAGTGTAAAAGACGTATTGCGATGGGAAAGTCTGCGGTTAGGGACCTCTCCAAAGTACTAAAGAGCAACGGTGTCTCTCTGGAGACTAAGGTGCGCCTGATACAGGCTGTGGTCTTTGCTATCCCTTGTTATGCATCAGAGAGTTGGACAATGACTAGGGAGGATAGAAGGAGAACTGATGCCTTTGAGCTGTGGTGCTGGAGAGGAGTACTGAGTGTACCATGGACTGCTAAAAAAACAAACAGGTTCATCTGGGAGAGGGTTAAACCAGGCTGCTTCTTGGAGGCAAGGATTCTGAGGCTTTGTCTGACATACTTTAGACATGTTTTAAGGAGGGACGGTCCTTGAAGAGGGACATCATGCTTGGTAGGGTGGAGGGACAGCGCAAGAGGGGAAGGCCCTCTATGAGGTAGATTGATTCAGTGACTGTGGTAATCGGGATGGGTGTGCCGGAGACAGTGCAATTGGCACAGGACCAGGCAGAGTTTAGGGCTGTTATACATAGGGTTGCTGAGTCTCAAGCGACTCAAAGGCACATAACAACAAGAACAACAACAACAACACATGTGCTACATGCTTGGCACATAAATGTGTGCTACCTGTATAGATAGTGAGTTCTGGCAGCCTATTGGATAATAAATTGCACTGCCGACCCAGAGGCAGGTGGTTTAAACCCACCATCCCTCAAGGAGAAAGAGAGGCAATCTTTTCCCATGCAATTTACAGCCTCTGAAAACTTGATGGGTGGTTTCAACTTAACAGCAATGAGTGAATGAGTGATCACAGAAAGTATAACACTTTTAAGTTTAAATGTTAAAATAATAAACAAAACTCAAAAGAGTGGGGGGGGAACCCCAAAGAAAACAAAAAGAGCTCCAAAACGTGAACACTTTCAGTACATAAGAACTGAGAACAGTTTGACAGATGTTACAGCCAATTTGTAGTAGAATCCAAAGAGGAGAAGTTGACTCAACAGATCTGATTAAAAGGTATTTTTTCCTAAAAACTAAAATGAATAGGGTATAATTTTAAATTGTTCTTTTGAGTTATAGCAACATTTTACTGTTGTAACCGACTCCAGAATGAATGGCTAGCATAACTAAGTAGCTCCACTGGCATTCAGTTGACTCCACCTCACAGTGACCGACAGGACAGAGCAGACCTCTCCCTTAGAGGTTCCAAGGCTGTACGCTTTACGGAAGCACACTGCCATGCTTTCCGCAGTGACACAGCAACATGTGGGTTTGAACTGCTGACCTTCTGGACTGAGTGCTTAACCACTGTACAACCAGAGCTCCTTAAGGCTTAAGCATACAAAAGAAAATATATCAACTTTCATTGTTTCCTCAATTTTGTTAAAAAAAAAAAAAAAGGAACATCTTAAACCTCATAGCAGATCTGCCCTCGGGTTTCCCAGCCTGTGAAGGGCACAGGGGAGTGAATGCTCCTTTCTCCTTCACAGTCACTAATGGGTGCAGACCACCCGGCAAGCACACGCTCTGGGTTCGCAGTGCAACTCACTACACACCATGGTACCAGATCTTCCTAGGAACAAAAAACAAAGAGCTAGCTCTTCAAGTCACAAATCTGCTGTGCAATTTTAAATATAAAAATCTCTCCAAAAGGAACAAACTGAGAAATACATGGCTGGCTCTCCTTTTGCATTAATAATCTGCTGGCACCCACCATTATAGGGATCTTCAGTTTTCATCATTATCAAAGGGGTAAAGGGACCCATTCTTTAAAGCAAGCACAATCTTGACCATATACTCCATCTTTACCAGACTGATACCTATCCACAATAGGATGCTAACAGTTGTATACTTTGTTCAAAGATAAAGCTTTTATACAAATTTATCAAAATTTTAAATGGCTCAAACAGCAAATGAGAAAAACAATCGGTAAGCCTCATTATTTGATGAGAATAAATTTTACCAGTTTTAAAACTGCAATAAATAAACTGCAACAAAAATATTATTTTTATGTCATCTGTAAAGTCATTTTTAATTAAGTCTCAATAGGAAAGTGTTGTAAGTCATAAGGTAAAGAAATTACATTCTCCATCTCAAACTTTTTTCCTGTCACAAACTTCTTCTGTTGTAAACTTATACAATGGTTGGTGGAGTACCTGTTGACCTTTTGGTTGGCTACCTAACATGTTATGTGCTATAACATTGCAAATATTTAATTTACACACATATTTATTTTACATATCTACTTAAATATACATATTGATACATGCCTACAGCATATATAAAAATACATGAATGTTCTTAACAAACTGATCATCAAGTCTGTAATTCCGTGAATATACCTACTTCTCACTAAACAATTATTTTGTTATCCAATGCCTTATATTTACAACAATAGTAAAAAATCCACTATCCAACTATTTTGAAAATTAATGACAAGTCTAACAGTAATGAACAGTAAAATGTGAATCAAAACTAACAATGGTCAATACTCCAGGGAGCCCATCTGATGTCTAAGGTCATATGTCAACTTGGTTAGGCTGTGATTCTCAGAAGCATGGAGGCTATGTAATATGTAACTATCTAATTTGGCAGTTGTATAATGATGTGTCCACTTCCTGTTTTGTGATCTAATGTGATCATCCTCCATTTTTTTTTTGCCCAGCACATAAAGACTTGGTCTTTGGAACCTGGCTCTGCCATTAAGTCGAGAGTGGACGTATATTATTGTTTTAACATTACACTAAGATGCAAGCACAACAGGCAAATCTCACCTTCCCTGCTGACCGTGTGGTAAAAAAAAATCTACAATCATCCAATTCCCAGGGTCTGGAAATGGATTAGTCTTCATCCTCTCCCCCATCCATCTTCAACACCAGCTATTCACATGTCTCACACTCTCACTGCAACCCTAGCAATCCAGAGCTGTCACAGCTCACGAGTTATAAACACCATCTTCCAGAGTAGCTGCCCAAGCCTTATAGCTCAGATTCTAGCCATGAAGAGTTAGGCCAGAGCTCACAAGTTCTTGGAAGAACATCTTCCTTTAGAATGGCACTTAGGGGCCTGTCCTGCAGACTCTCACTGCCTTTAGGGGTTTATTAATTTGCTGGAATGACTCAAAGAATCATACAAAGAATATACTGCACTTATGGCTACAACTATAGTATAACCAAAAAGTGACCAAATGAAGAGACACACAGAGTGAAATCTAAGAGCGGCCACAGCATGGAGTTTCCATGTTTCCCCCCATGTACGGTCACCAACCAGGAAACTCATCCGAGCCTTTGAGCTCAGGCCTCATACCACCCTCACTACACAGGATTCTCCTAACGCACAGTCAGCAAGGGCCCTCAGGTGGCTCCCTGAGTCTGATCCCTCTTAGCTACTGGTATAACCTGGGGGGGAAAAAATAATAAAGGGAAAAAAACCCAAACTGCTTCCTGCAAAGTGATTCTGCAACTCACAGGGAAAAGCAGCAATTAAAGTTGATTGAGGAAAAAAAAATCAATCTGTAATACAAGTAGTAAAAGGAAAATAAAAAAATCATAAAGATAGCTAGAAAAATGTCTGAAATAGTGCTCAAACTGCTCCTTGGGGCTCTGTCTACGAAACATGCTAAAACAAGTGTTTCCTTTATCAAAACTATCTTAATATTCAGTGATTCTCTCAAAACATGGTAAATTATATTTATTCAAATACCTGTCACAATAACATAGAAGAACTATAATTATCAATCTCTTTCCGTTAACAGTCTTAGAAACACTGACTTTTTAATAGCTATAGCCATAAAATCATGTCTGGAACACTTGTACACATAATCTTTACAAAAGGAGACTAATATTCTTGCATGTTGTTGTTGTTGTTGTATACTACCGAGTGGGTTCTGAATCCTCGTGACCCTCCAGGATTGCCCACAGAGTTTGCATGGGAGCATGGACACCAAAGGCTGTGATCTCAGGAACGGCAGACTCTCAGTTCTTTTCTTCCCATTTAGTAGCTGTTGGGTTCGTTGTCCAACTTTTGGGTTTGCAGTCAAACCTTTAAACATTCCCACATCAGGACTCATGGTGTTGCATTTAACAAACGTTCACTAAAGAGCTGTGTTGGGGCAGCCACTCGGGGAGATACAGACTGGAAATCAAATCTGCAAGTTCTCACAGGAGGATTTACTATTACCTTGGGGAAAGTACTAACATACATAAGGCATAGCACTGGGAGAGAACGTCTTTATCATCACATTCATTAGGACAAAAATATGTGTATGTTTTAATACAACAGAAGCCCAACTGCTCTTGATAAATATAAGGCTGGTTGCCCTTTTGTGTCATTCTTGGTTGGCACCCACCATTCTAGGCTCTTCAGCTTTCATCATTATCAAAGAGGTAAAAGATCCATTCTTTAGGGCAAGCACAATCCTAACCATATACTACATCTTTACCAGACTTAAATACATTTTATCCACAATGGGATACTAATAGTTGTCTACTCAGTTCAAAGAAAAAATTTTAATACAAAATGATCACACACACACATATATAAGTTATAAAGATCTCTTTAGGTTCAGGACTTGGTTCTCTTGCTGTGAAACACTCTACAAATCCTTCGGAGTCTCTTCGAAGCCTAAAGGCAACCTTGAGAAACGTCCACCCACCTCTACCCCAAGGCACTGTGTGGGAGGTACAATCTTACAGCATCCAAAAAAATGCTGGGCCTCTCTGGGGAAAAGATGCCACAATGGACAACGGGGAATGTCCTTACTGACTAATGAAAAGCCTGATCTTTTCTCTTCCTTCCAAGCTCCTTAGGCCAAGAAGTATTTTCTTTGAATAATCAAATCACAAGTGACACAGAATATGTACAGAACCCAGAAGAAATTAAAGTTTAAACTTGTCCCCTGAAGACTTGTCCCCATCTCCAACTTTAGATGACTCCAACTTGGGATTTCATGCAAAGTTTCAGAAAGAGACACAAGCAAGGAAGAGGGAGCTGCTCCCTTCCTACCTCCTGGGTGTGTTCTTTGTAGACCTGCAAGGGCCCCGTGGCTTTGGCAGTGTCCCAGAGCTGCAGGGAGCCATCGCCGCTGCAGGTGACGAGGACATGCTCGTTGTTCTCACTCCAGGTTACATCGAACAGCCCATCATTCCAGTCAAAGCTGCAGCAGGGACATTAAAAAAGGATGCTATTGTTGTGACATCGAATCAGAATCATCTCATAGCAGGCCCTCCAGTAGATATTCAGAAGCTGTAAATCACACAGAAGACCACTGATCCCTGCAGGAGAGCAGCTGGTGGCTTCAAACCATTTGCCTTTTGTTTGGCAGCGCAACTCCTTACCACTCAGCCACCACAGCACCTTAAATAAATATATATCTATATCTATCTATATCTATCTA